TTTCAATTCAACCTGTTTCTTGTTATTTAATTTAATCTTCCCCATTATTGACATTTGAATATATATATTTTAAGCATTTTTGTATGTGTTTACATACAAAGTATGCATATATTTAAATGAGGCAACTCTATTTTCTGTATGCATTTTCACTTAACATTGCATTCCTTGAATTTGTAAAAGCCAGTTAATAAACATAGCTATCACAGTCAGTAGTCACTGAGAGAAAAACTACATATAAAAGCAATTATAATAACTATATTGGTAAAAAGCAAAATACACAATAACTTGCATATGTTATCTGTGCAAAATATGTACGCATGTGGACAAGGACTTGAAGGGAACAATGAAACACGAAGATTGTTTTGGGGGAAGAAAACCATTATATTCTTTTGAAAACACAATTTTAAATGGCTATACAATGTTCTATCTCTGAATGTGCCATAGTTTATTTAATCATAATACCCTTAGTATTGAACATTTTAGTTGTTTCTTGTTTTGCTTATTTTCTTGCTACTTTAAATACTAATGTAACTAATATATTTGTGTATATATGTGTGTGTATTGCTACAGGTAAAGTGACTCATAGACACATGCTTTCACAGCTTTAGTGTTTTTCTGTGGTTAATTGTTTCAATTTTATTTGCTTTCTTCATGTTCTGGGTAGCCCTTTGGCATGCTCTGAGGTGGACTGGTTGTTCACTGCACATCCTGGGGCATTACCAATACTCAGGGATTCCCTCACATCCTCCCGTGTCCTGGCTCCCATATCTTTTCTAGGTTTCCTCCTTTGTCTAGGGAACAACCCTACTCCCCACACCCCTGCAGCAAATTCCTGAAAAAGGCAGACCTGGGAGATATGTTGTTTAGACCTGGCATGTCTTAAAAGCATCTTCATTCTACCATAACCTAAATTTGGTTGGGTATAAAATTAGAGTTCTGAATTAATTCAAAATGTTTTTGTTTTAAATCATTTTTTATTTTTCAATTACAGTTTCAGGTGTAGATCCAGTGATTAGACATTTATAACTTACTACGTGATCATCCCAATAGACGTCATACCCACCTGGCACCATACATAGTTATAGTTGACTATATTTCCTATGCTGTATTTTACATACCTATGACTGTTCTGTAACTACCAATTTGTACTATTAGTTTCATGACTTTAAAGCATCCCTCCAGTGCCCCTCCTATCTGGCAAATGTCACAGTGTTCTCTATATCTATGAGTCTATTTCTGTTCTGCATATTTGTTTGTCTTTTTAGAATCAATTGTTCATAGATATGTATTTATTGCCATTTATTATTGACATTTTTATCTTTTTTTCCCTCTTAAAGAAGACCCTTTAACATTTCATGTACTACTTGTTTGGTGGTATTGAACTCCTTTAGCTTTTTATTGTCTGGGAAGCTCTTTATTTCTCCTTCAATTGTAAATGATAGCTTTGTTGGGTAGAGTCATCTTGGTCATAGGTCCTTGCTTTTCATCATTTTGAATATTTCTTGCCAGTCGCTTCTGGCCTGCAAAGTTACTGTTGAAAATCAATTGACAGTCCTATGGGAGCTCCTTTGTAGGTAACTAACTGCTTTTTTCTTGCTACTTTTAAGATTTTTCTTTGTTTTTAATCTTTGCATTTTAATTATGATGTGTCTTGCTGTGGTCCTATTTGTGTCCAGATGTTTGGGACTCTCTGTGCTTCCTGAACTTGTATGTCTATTTCCTTCACCAGGTTAAGGAAGTTTTCTGCCATTTTTATTTCAAATAATTTTTCACTTATTTACTCTCTTTCTTCTTCTTCTGGCACCCCCATGATGTGAATGTTGGTACACTTGAAGTTGTCCCAGAGGCTCCTTATATTATCCTCATTTTTTGGATTCTTTTTTTCTTTTTGCTGTTCTGGTTAGGTGTTTTTTTACTTATATTCCAAATCGCTATTTAGATTCTTGGTTTCATCCACTCTGCTGTTGATTACCTATAAATTATTGATTTCAGTTACTATAGCCTTCATCTATGACTGGTTGTTTCTTATGGTTTCCATGTCCTTTTTTTATGCTTTTGAAGTTCTAAGTTCAACAACTCTTTCCCTAAGTTCAATGACCATCCTTATAACCAATGTTTTGAACTCTGCATCTAGTAGACTGTCTCCATTTTGTTTAGTTCTTTTTCTTGAGTTTTGTTCTGTTCTTTCATTTGAGACATGTTTCTTTGTCTCTTCACTATGGCAGCCTCCCTGTGTTTCTTTCTGTGTTAGATAGAGCTTCTGTCTCCTAGGCTTGGAGGTACTCTAGGTCAAGCTGCAAACCAAGGCTGGCTGCTGCTCGTGCTGGGCCTGGGGCCACTTAGCAAGAGGTACAGGGCATGCTGAGGCCAGAGGCTGCTTGTTTGAGAGATTTTAGGAAAGTCTGAAGTCTGAGCCAAGACAGGACATTTGTATGGAAAAGCCACTAGAAACAGCTTGGGTGGACCCCCAAGTTGGGTAAGGCAGTGTCTCACGGAATTACCAGGGCAAGGCAAACAGTGACAGCCACATTACTATAGACTCAGATGTGGCACATGCCTGCTGGCTCTCAGGGGTTACGGCTCAGCAAAGGAACAATGGCCTATGCCAGAACTTCTGTCTGGGAGGAGGCTGTCCCTCCAGCCCTCACTCTAATGCTGGACAATTCAATTCCTCCCCATAAGCCCCTGGAGCTTTTCAAGCTGCTGCCCCAACTCTGGAACTCGAAAGGAGTGTGTGTGAGTAAGTCTGTGCATGGGTCCTTTAAGAGGAACTGCCTGGGACTCCAGAAGCCCTCCATTTATCTCAGCCACAATGTCCACAGGTTTTTAGAACCAGAAATTATAGGAATTTCTCTTTCTGGCACTGGAACTCTGGGCTGGGGGCCCTGGTGTGGGGCTGGATCCTCAGGAGGCACCTCTGCAGCTGAGATATCCCTCCCAATTTTTATCCACCACATGTGGGTGTGAGACCAGCCCATTCTGCATCTCTGCCCCCCTACCAGTCTCAAAGTGGCTTCTTCTCTATATCCTTAGTTACAGGGCTTCCATTCAGCTAGATTTCAGTTGGTTCTGAATTATAATGGTTGTTCTGCATTTTAGTTGTAATTTTGATGTGGTTGTGGGAGGATGCAAATACTGTGTTTAGCTACTCCATCATGACCAGAAGCTCTGTGGATCATTTAGATTTTGAAGGAATCACAACATTGTCTTCTGGTTTCCAGTATTGCTGCTGAGGGGTCTGGTGCTGTTTTGATTCCTGATATTTTTTTATGTGGCCTCTTTCTTCACTCTGAGAAGCTTTCAGGATCTTTTCTTGGTCTTTGGTGTACTGAAATGGCACAATAATGTGTGTTGGCGTAGTTTATATTATTCTTGTTCATTAGGTTATTCTGATGGTCCCTTTTGATCCTTCTGTTTGAGGACATTTTCTTTATTTTACTCACATATTTTGGTAGTTCCTGCTCTTCTGTTTTTTCTGATTTATTTTTCTGAAACTCTCATTATTCAGATGTTGGACCTCTCACGCTTTTCCTCTAGTTTTCTTTATTTAAAAAGATTTTCTTTTTTACTTTTATTGTACTCTTCCAGTGTCTTTACTTTATTTTCTAGGCTTTTTCTCTACTTTATTTTGTAGGTTCTTACTTAGTTTTTTATTTCTGCTGTCATAGTTTTAATTTCTAAGAGCTCTTTTTTGTTTTCTAGTTTTTAAATAGCATCATATTTTCTGTAGATTCAGAATCTCTTCTTAGCTCTCTGAGGATATTAATGATCATCTTTTTGAAATTTTCATCATTCTGCATAGTTTCCAGAGTAAGTTGCTTTACTTTGTTTTGTTTTGATATGTCTCTTGTGTTAGAGGTTTTTCTCGGTTGCTTGGTGATCATTAGCTCTATGCAAACGTGTATGAGTAGAATGTTAAGAATCTGATTAAAAATTATCTGCTGGGTTTGGTTGTAGAATGATCTAACTGAGCTATTTTATTAGGGATCTGTGGTGTCAGCCCTTCTGGCCCTTGGACCATTCAAGTCACCAGAGAAGACTCTTCCAATCTTCTGTGCAGAGAATATCAATTTGGCTTCATTTACCTCTCATTTTCAATATGGTCCTTTAAGTCAGTGCTGTTTCATTTTGTCCACTTCAAATCTCTTTTATCTTCTTTAAGGGAAAAATGTCGTTTTCTACTTGGGTGATCTAATTGCTTTGGAAAGAGCCTTTTAACTTGGTCTGCTCTTGTCAGCATCATCTTTGCCACCCTGCAGAACCACTCAGCACCCCCAGTGCCTGGGCCTCAGGGGCGCCCTCCAGGACTGCAGGAAGCCCCCCGGACCGAGGAGAGCCCTCCAGGACCAGGGAAATCCCTCGAGTACTCAGCAGGTTAATTACTGGCTTTCTCTGCTGCTGACTAAAATCCACCTTTCTTGGGTCTGCTGAGTCATTTACACTTGTCCTGCTATCTAACTTCCCAAATTTTGTTGTTGTCATCTCTTTTCCTATTATTTTTATCTTCGTGATTTGGGCCCTTTTAAAGAAAATAAGTCCCAGCATTGTTAGTGAGGTTTTTGGAGGAAGACATGGATTTGGAGCTCTCCAAGTTCAAGCAGAAATTCCCCGCGTTCCTGTTATGGGAAAAGCAAGTGTGTCTGAAGGCAGTAAGTTGTAAACAACGTTCCCAAGGAGGCACTGAAGAAGAGTTGCTTTCTCATCATCAACTCACTAGGAACCACAGGAATAGAGCTAATAATAGGGTCTAGGATCCTTTATTTCTGTACCTTTTTGACAGCACTTTTTTTCATACAGGTAAAAGGGTGAGGGACACACAGGAATAGGTTTGTCAGTGAGGGAAACTGAACGGCAGACTCTCCCCAAGTGGGAAATTTTCAAGTGCCGTGAATCCCACCCTGGGCTCTGTATCTATCCAGACTTGGTCGTGTTTTTTCCCTTCAGTGAAACCACTATTTGTTTTTTCTCTTCCATTCCCATTCCCCAAACCTATGACATAGGATGATGAGAGCTTGAAGTACCTCACGCATGAGGAAAAGGATGTCATCCTGTTTTTTGAAGAGACTATTGACTCCCTAGAAGACGACTTTGAGGAGCAAGTCCTGTGTGACAGTGGGGTACACTGCCACTCCCCACCATCTCTGGAAGGGAGCACTTCCAGCCCTTCAGAGCCGGAAGATGTCATTGACTTAGTGCCGCCAGTACCTGCGGCTGGGGAACCGGAGCACCTTCCGGGTGTGACTGAAGCAGCAGGTGAGGAGTGAAGCCCCTGTCCCCAGACTCGGGCTTGCTTTATTCGTGTTTTACGCGACACAGAGGTACTGCTTTCTGTGTCTGCCACTGTGGAGACTGTTGGATCTTATCTGATTTTTGTAGGGCAGTTTGTCCAACTAAGTAGATATTTTCTTAGCATAGTAGGATAACAACACATAAAGGGAAATTCCAAAAGGGCTAGAATTAAGAATGAGACTAATTGGGCATACATATAGATTTTTATATCTGTATTAAAAAGAAAGAAAATTGGAAAGAGCTTCCAGGCGACAATTCATTACAGAAAGAAAACATGTAAGGTACTTGTATTTTAGCCCTGGAATTTTAATCTCGCTTTCTGAGCAAGATTATGCCCCTATTGCTGCAGCATGACTTTCCAAGGTAGGGGTATTTGAACTGAAAAGTCAGCTGGTTCAGGAAAACAGGAAAAGATCAACACAAAAATTCAGCTCAGCATCCCCTTTGTACCTTTGCTTAACTCAGGGTGGCATCAAAAGAGAGGTATGTTTTTGTCCAGCAAGTCCTATGATAGAACCAGAGGAGAGGGGCAAGGAGAAAATTTTCTTCCATTTTTCTTCTGAACTGGAAAAGATATTGGAAATAAATGTGGACAAGGGGATAAGGATTGGTAATGATGAGGGAAAATTAGAAGGGAAAATAATTTTGCCCTGCTAACTACAAAATACTGCCATTTATCATGAGCCTCTAGAAATATTTTTTCCTTTTTTTTAATCTGTAAGCAGGGCTGTGTGTTATACAGAATTTCACATACTATGGTCACAGATTCCAAAGATGGAGTTTAGTTTACAGCCATCTCTTCAAAGAAAAGGCTTAATGTGAATTCCCCATTTTTATCACACTTCTTTGAAGTATAGTTCCTAAAATTTGAACCAGCTGTTCCTTTACAAATGTTAGATCATATGATGATGGTGCCACGTAAAACCCATTTTGAAAGTAAGCCATCCTGCCCTTCAATTCCTTAATATGGTATTTTCATAACAATTTTAAGTGCCTACTCTGTGTCGGGCATCTTGTGAGATTCTGCGATACAAAGATAAAAAAGACACAGCCTGCAGTTTTGCAGCAGGAGACAGGTGTATGAACCGAAGTACCGAAAAGTGCTAGGCGTTCTGTGATTCTGGAGATAGTAAAGGCTCCAAGGCTGGCATGTAAATCCCACCTGGGACTGTCAGGAGACATTTCTGTTGTGTAGAAGAAAGGGAGGGACTTGGTGGTGTGCCACACACCTTCCAGCCTCCATTTCCCCTTTGTAAAAATCCCTGCTAAGGAAATAATTTCTCCTATTAATGCTTCAGGAGGATGGGTCCTTAGAAGTTTGCTTTTACCATATGCTTCCCAAGTACTGACCATGTCTGATTTGGCAGTCTTTCACCTCATCCTGTGGTCATGAGAATCATGTCCTCTGTTCTCTTGCAATAGTCCAGGGGACAGGGACAGAGGGAATTTAATTTGCAGGAGGACGTGCCGAAGTTGGTATTATGTCCTTTGGAGACCCTTTTCAATTCAGTGGAAAGGAAATGTAATGTGTTCATTTTTACATAAGGTTACATAAGCTTATGAGGATTCTCCCTACTTCTCAGGGGCTGGACCTGTTAGGAAGGAAGACATTCCTGTCCTGGAGCACAGGACACAAGGTTTGGGGACCTCTCCCCGACCAGAGACCACAGTTCCAGAGGCCCTTCCTCAGCCACCATCCCTGCTGGTCCCCGCAGCGCTAGCCCACCCCAGGAAAGAACAGCTCTCCACCTCTCCTCCAGCAGAACACCCGAAACTGCCCCGCTCCGTTCCCACTCCGCTTGTTATTGCTCAGAAAATTTCTGAGAAGTTGGCAGGAAATGAGGCGCTTTCGCCCACCTCCCCCTCAAAGGAGGGCAGGCCTGGAGAATGGAGGACACTGACACCCACGGCCCCTCGAAATGGAGACCACTCATTGTGGCACAGACACACAGCACAGTCTGCACCCAAGGTCCACCGCTTCCCAAGCAACATCAGTGTGACCAACAGTGCCGGGAAGGAGTTCAACAAGACCATCTCCAAGGCAGCGGTCAATGTGCAGGAGCGGAAAGCCCGGGTCCTGGCCAACATTAACGGTGTCTCTTTTCTCTCCATGGGAGAAATGGAAGAAAGGGCCCAAAAGGGTGATCTCCCTGAGCAAAGGAGAAGCATCTCCCCAGAGCAGGGGACATGTGATCAGAGCAAGCCAGGCCCGGTGCAGGAAGGCGTGCCCACACGGGCAGGAGGGCAGACCAGCAGTCAGCAGTCCAGAGGCGTGCAGACGGAGCAGACCCCACCGCTGGCCAATGGCTTCCAGAGCATCCACGATGTCCTAAAGAGGGAGCCTGGTGGCTTTTTCTCTACTGGGAAAACTGTCACCTTCCACCCAGACCCAGCTCTCACCAGTAAACTTGCACGCCAGAACGCCAGCAAGAGCTTGTTCGAGCACCGGCCGCCGGACTGCAGCCAGGATGCTAGGAAGCGTTCAGGTTCGCTGCCCAGGGCTGTGGGGTTCAGACCCCAGGGCATCACCGTCCAGTTCGCTGGCCGAGGCTCAACTGAGGAAGCCCGCCGGGAGGCCCTGCGGAAGCTCGGCCTGCTGAAGGAGAACTTGTGATGGGGAGCGCGTGGGGGCTGGAGGAGGAGGACGGCTAGGTTTGTCTGGCCTAAGATGGCTGCGTGTTGTAAAGAGCGGTCAGGACAGCCCCAATGGCTGTGCCCTGCTGAGGACTAGCGATGACAGGTGCCAGGGCTCAGGAGTCCGGGCTGGGGGCTGGGAGCAGTAAGGGCTGCCCCATTACCGCCCCACCGCTGAGCTGGGAGTTCCCTCTGTAAATGAGGGCCGGACCCACATCTTCCTTTTTTTCCAAGAACTCAGAGAATAACCTTGAAGACCTATAGGTTTCTGTGATTTGTAACTGCCATCTACTTTGGATTTGGATTTGGAAAGATGGGGATTGGGTCTGATTTGTTATTCTCGAGTCTCTAATCTAGCCTTTGATCCCTAGTGTACAGACACAAAAGCCAGGTTAGGTCTCCTATACTCAGTTCTCCAAGATAGGGATTTCCTCTCCTTTTCTAAGGAAATGTTAAAAACTGGGTGTTAAATTTTCAGTGTCTTAAAATACATTTTTGGGTTTTTGGTTTTGAACGGTAAAGGACAGCATGTTAGCTCTAAATATTCCTTTGTTTCTTGATAAAATTTGGTTTGCCTAGTTTTTTTTTTAAATTGAAAAGTGAAATAAAACCTTTAGAGTATGAGGTACTATAATTTTGAGTTATGGGAGTGGAATAAAAAGGTTGAGTTTGGGAAAAGGTAGTAATTTAAAGAAAGCAGTTCTCATCACACAAAGGGTCTGTGTCACTGGGAGACATGTGTATGAGCATTTATTGTGTATATACGTGTACATAATGTTTATAGAGACATGTTAGCATATACATATATAGATATTGTGTGGGCATATACATGGTCATCGTTAAATATATAAAAACTTCCTAAAACCCTATACTCTTGATATACACAGACATCTCAGTGGGGACAGTGGCACAGAAATGGTTACTTTCTAATACAGAAGTCTTTTAAGGACATGTCTCCATAATATTTTGGTGAACTCAAGTACTTTTTCCTCTGCAATGTGTGTTCTGTTACCAATTAAAGTAATATTCCAAGTAAGTTTCCAGATAAGCAAGATAGTTTCTTTTTTTAGTGAAGAACATTTTCAAAGATTTATCTTATCACTTAATTTTAATTTATGACCTAATTTTAGATCTGCATTTTCCAAGGTAGCTAGTAAACAGGAGGAAGCAAAAGATTCTTCAGATTCCCTGTGTTCTATGAGCAAGGTCTCAGGATTAATTTAAAAGGGAAAAAACAATGAACTAGGTGACACTGCACGAGAAGGACTCATTTGCTCCCACACTGTCCCACATGCTGAGTTGTAGCCACAAGCATTATTATCAGAACTGTTTAAGGCTGGCGTCCTAAAGCTCTAAAAATAGACTGGGAAGGGCCACACTTAGATATGCCTTTTTGTTATTATGTCTCAGTCACTGTCACAGAGTCTATTTCTTTCCTGTTGAGTATTATTTAAATTCAAATTTTTAAATGTGCTGTGATGGACGTTTTTCATAGTATTCAATTTGCCGGGTAAGTTACATAAAATGGTTATAATTTTTTTCTCCTTTTACGACTACAGTATTTAGTTTCTTGACCAGCCCTTGTCCTGCTGAAATAATCTCATAGATTCTTAGTGGTCTTAATTCAAACGGATTTTTAGTTTTTATTTTACTTCTGTTTATATTGGCTTTGATTAAAGGATTCTTGAGGGCTGGATTATCTTTTTACAAAGTGAGATGCCTTATACAGTGTTTAAAAATAGAGGGTCTTGATATGGCTGACTTTTTAAATACCCTTTATATGAGGATTATTTCTTTTTATCTTATCCTGACTTCATCATGATTAAGGGGAACTTGACTACATATATAGTATGTTTCTTCTCATAATGACATTTTTGAAAAATAAATTTGAGTTTTATCTTATATATAAATAACTTTGTACATTTTATACTTATTCTCAATTATTTTCTTTTAAATGGTTCTATTCTTTCCTTATATTTATTCATAATTACCTATTTATCCATAATTATACTCATTATTATTCTGGTCATTTCTTGTGCCCAAACCCTAGAAATTAAAGCCATACATTTTGTATAAGGTTCAAATTATAGCTACTAAGGAAGTAACTTGTCTGTGTGTGTATTGTGTTAACAAAAACAACTGGTTTGCTAAGGGCGTTAGTTTTCTTGCCATATTGCATGATAGGACATTCTTAAAGGGTCACCTTCAAAGGAATTTTAAGAACCATATTGCAAAGCAAAATTGTGATGAAAAGGAAAGATGAATCTTAAGTGCCCAGTTTTGTTTTGTTTTTCAAGTGATACTTGTAAATCAGTCTCCTTTTTTTGAAACTCTTTATCTTAAAATCAGGGAAAAATTATTTTGCTTTAAGGAAGGTATGTATAAGTGGCCCCATCAGAGTCTCACCTGTAGTCTGTAATACTTCGCAGTTGCTAGGGTAATAGGGTCTTTCCAGTCTCTTCTCCTCTTCCTCCTCCTCTCTCCTATGTTAGTTCCTGGGGTGCACGCTTACCTTCACAAAACTAGCAGAAATGCTGGGTTTTGCTTTACCTCCCAATTCACACTCTCATCCTGTGAGGTTGGTTGAGGAGAAAGGCACAGGCTGTGACCCTGCAGATACAAGTCCCTAAGCCCCAGGATGCGCACAGCGTGGGCCTGGCCAGGGCTGTGTGCTGGCTCCTTGCCTTGACTTTGAGAGAATATAGGATTCTTCCCTCACAATCCCTCACTGGAGGAGGCGGGGCGGGGGGTGGGGGGAACAGGGGGGTTCCTCATGTAGGCTCCCCACGTGACATAGCTTTCATGAAGAGGTTCATGGAGTTGATAAGCAAGGCCTTACAGAACCCTTAGGATTGACCTTTTTATTTGTAAAAATCAGAAATGTGTTCTCTTCATTAAATTCCCACAGCTTTGGCTACACGAAATTGGTTCTTTATGTTTATTCAAGAGTAATAAAGAGAGGGAACGAAAATAAATATGAAAACAATTAAAGAGAGGGAACGAAAATAAATATGAAAACAATTTACTCTTATCAAGAAACTCATAACCGCTCTGCTGTTTCCCTAACGAGGTGGCAGAATGAGGCACTGTTTCTCTCTGAGTGTATTTTACCGCCCTGACAAAACAAGCTTAATAAACTTTTTTTCCCACTAAACTGTTCCCTTGGGTTCTTAAATGTTTGCACCAAATCCTTGTGTTCTCTGAAGGAGCAGGGCTTGTTTTTTCCTTTTTCTTCCTGCCCCACCTGTGGCCTGTGATCCGGAGCTCCCAGGTGGCAGGAGGAAGGGGAGGAGTGCGGGGGAATGCTCACCTGTGAAAGGTTCGTGTTTTCATTGAAACGACAAGTCACCAAACAGGTTTTGTTTCTTCTCTTCACAACAAGGCTTTTTCCCTGCTTTAAAGTATGGGGAACAAGTTCCATATCCTTTTCTAATCTACTCACTGGACAAGCCCTGCTTTCAGATATCTGAGAAAAGAGAAAGCTGAGCTCTGTGTTGCGCTGTCCTGGGAAAACTGGAGCTCCGGGACTGAATTTGAAATGGAGGACCGCCTGGGCGGCCACGGCCACCTTCGCTCCCCCTCCAGCTCCTGCTTTCACTCTGCTCCAGATTCACCAGAATCACCCTCTTCTCTAAGACTAAAAACGCTGTGGGGGTGAAACCCCATTTGTCTGCACAAGGAAAGGATGATAACCTTAATACACTCCCTTCCTCACACTTGTTAGCATAAAAACGACCAGCCTTTGTGTGTGAGGCTGTGGTCCTCTTTAAATGTCTCTTTATTCAAAGAAAGATCGTTCTCCTACACATTCTAAATTCGTAAGACTTAAGAAACGCCAGTCACTGCTGTCACTAGAGACTCATTCTCCCTCCTGGTTATTACCCTGCTTGAGAGGCCACCCATGATGCCCAGAGCCAGGACAAGCTGCCCATAAGGTACCATTACTTCAACCCTGTCTGCCTGGCTCTGTACAGATTTACTTCAGGCTCACTTCTTATCTAAACAGCATGAACTTTCTATTCAACAATGAGCTAAAAGGGGGAACATAGTGGTTTCCAGAAATGACCTGGAAAGCCTAAATGGCACATGCAGTAATTCTCTGCCCTGGATGGGGGCAGACCATAAATTGCCCTAAGGAGCAGGGCCCACCCCCTCCGAGAGAACTGAAGAATCCTCGGACACCGCCAGTATGCATTTCGCCTCTTAGTTCCTGGACACACTGGGATTTAGAGCGACGCCAAGTCAGGAGGAATCAATCCCCCAGCCTCACGGGTTTTCAGTGTAGGTTTTCCCCATGCCCACTGATTCTTCAGGAGTCTCGAGGCCAGCTATTTACCCAGCAGAACATGGCTTCTGAATGAGGTTCAGCGAACATTTCGAAGGGGAAACCCACCTCAGTTTTGAGGAGGGTCACGGGGTCTCCGTTCTGGGTGCTGGATCTCCAGGTGTGGTGGCTTGGGATCAGATTCGATGATCACCCTCCCTCCACCTCCCCTGCCCCCAGGAAAGGTGGCAGCTGGGCTGCTCCAGCCAGGGTAGAAGCTGAGATTAATGGAACTCAGTCATTGATAAACAGGTCACACTTCATAAACTTTGAGTATTTGTGTGTGAGGCAGAGCTGCCAAGGGGAGTAACCTAAGTACTAGAAATACTTCTAAGGGGTGGGGCTGAATGAACAAGGAATCCATGTGTCAGGCGTAAAGGGCTCAAGAGAACAGGGAACTGTGTGCACGTGCATGTGCTTGCACGTGTGTGTGCTTGCATGCGCCTACACACTGGCCCTTTCAGAGACTGGTTGGTTTCCATCCTTGGCATTCCCGATTTTTTTGTTGTTGTATATTCACCCTGAGCATTGAGACCTGCAGCAGAAGGCTTGTCTTTGTCACTAACGACACATCCAGGTCTCTGTGGCCTTTACAGAATTAGGTAATTCCCCAAAGAGCCCACACCCCTGACCAGTTCCTGGGATGGCAATTCCGCACGTTCTTTTTGGCCTCCACCTAGTTCTCCTGTTGTACAACAATTTCCTGGCCTATGAAATAGGATCAAATTTATCTTTTTACTTGGCCATTTGTTTGGCGTCTAAGCATTTTGAATTTGGGGGCGATTATTTCTGTCAAAATATAAGAAGGCTCAGGCAGGCCCCTCCCTTCCTGGGCGGGGTGTGCTGGGGCAGCGTGACAGCAGCGAGAGCACCGCTGCCCCGGGGCCCGTCCTCCTCGGCTTGCCCTCCGGACTCAGAGCTCCGGGCGCACTGACTGTGCTCTTCCAAACTCACAGCCCACATGTTTGTGAGACCTGCCAAAGCTTATTTTTCAGTCCAATCATAAAGGCCAAATGAACTGAATTAAAAATGTGCATAATAAAAAACAGTTGTTTGAAACTTGTCTTCATTTGTGAAGCTTAGAAGGCGAAGCTGAATATGACAACATCTATTCATTTGTTCAGCAGATTGTTGCATCATTTCCATCTGCTGTGAGTGGTGCTGAATGTTACCACTTGTTCCCCGCGACTCCCTATTGGGTGGGGCTGTAATACCCACTTACCGATGAGAAAACGCAGGCTTCTCTCCTCTTCACCAGGGTATTCCCTGGTGTTCCCCCTCCAATCATGTCATAAATCATTACAACTCTGCCAATATTTGTAAGTGACACTGTTGAAATTTTTGTCTACATTTTACTGGGAATGTGCCTGCTCCCAGAGCACTGAGCATCTCCTTTCCTTGCAAGGCTGTACACTTCATCTGGTTATGTTGCTATTGTTTACATCGTGGTTTTGAAAATTTCTTCAAGGAATTTCAGTGTCAGTTTGGGCAAAATTTTTAAATTGCTCAATTTTACCTTTTGAACTTAAGTTTTTTCTCAGCTCATTCATTCAACTCAGAGTCTTGATTCCAAATGGCCATTTGCTCTTTCTAGAAACCATATCCACCTTCGAAGGTATATTTTTCTCTAAGTGGAGTCTGCTCGACCCGAGACTCCACACTGCAACCTGCAGCGCTGTATAAGGAACGGAGGCAAGCCGAAGGCCTGGGTTTGTCAGACCTGCCAATGAAATGCGGGAGAGGCTTTGAGAGCCGCCTCCAAAGGCTTAAAAGGACTGTTGTAAATAGATAAGTCTGTGTGGCCAGAGATTACATGCAGAGGTTTCAACGCAACACAGCAAATTTTATAGCATTTAGAGCTGGCTGAAAATAGGAGGGCTGTTCTCCCAAACGTGTGCCCTATCTCCTCCCGTGGAGGTGCAGGCAGAGACTGGTGAGTGCTCTGCGCGAGGGAAGTGGCAGGAATGGTTCTCAGTGTCACCCCTTCCAATTCTAAGACTTGGTCATGAGTTCACATGCAGCCGGCTTTGTTGTTGTTCAGACTTGAGTTTGAATTTGTCCTACAATTGTTAGTTGCGTGACTTAACCTCTCTGAGACTCACTTTCTTCATGTAAAAAAATGGGGACAAACCATACATTCCTCATAGGGTGTGGTAAGGCTGAATGAGACCACATGTGTCAGGTGCACACCTGCACGATCATCTCATCGTCACCGTCATCATCACCATCATCACCATCATCACCGCCACCACGACTGTCATTGCTATCTTCACCATCGCTATCATCATCACCACCGTCGTCATCGTCATCGTCACCATCATCATATCATCATCACCGTCGTCATCCTCACCACCCTCAGCATTGCCGTCATCACCTGCATCACCATGGGCACCACCACCCTCCCCGCCGCCGCCACCCAGGCCGCCCCATCACTCCTGTACAGCTTTCGGGCATGGGCCGAGCGAGCCCCGCAGCATGGACAGTGCGCAGGCACCAGCCTAACCGCCTCACTCAGACACCACTGACCACCACGGCCCTGTTCTTACATGAGTCCCGTGGTTACTTCAGTTACCTTAGCAAAGAAACAGTTTTAGACTTACATTCCCCTGCCTGCTGAGAAGCAGGGTTTTGCCACTTTCTAAAAATAGGTCTTCAGAGTTTATTTTCCTTCCCTGAGGCTGGGCAGGTCTGGCTTCCTGCTCAGATACACAGCATCGGAGCACTTCCCCATCCAAGTCCACACTTTTCCACATCTCCTTTCCTCTCTCCTCTCAGAGCGGGGCCTTCCCCCACCAAGGCCTTCTCCCACAGGAGGAAGTGCCCCGCCCAGCCCAGTGCCCCGAAGACTCCAGGGAACACTGGGGGATTGTCCAGCCAAGAGCCCCTTGGCTGCCTTAAGGAGGAAGTGTTTATTTTGAGTTGCTGGGCTGGCCAGGCGGCAGCCCTCAGACTTTCCACCCCACACAGCACACTCCCAGCCAGCCCCTCCCTGCCTTGTCCACCAGAGCTCCCAGAGAGGTCTCTGGGAAGCAGGTGGAATGGTCCAGGTCCCAATTAAACCTGCCTTGGGTCAGGAGGTCCCCCAGCATATCCCCTTCCTTTGCAGCATCACCTGTACCTTCCTTGGTCCTCTGCGGTCTAGGGGGAGGGACCCGGTAACTCCTCCTCCAAGTGGCTGCTTC